CGTCATCGTCTCCGGTATAGTCTCAGGCTCTCCACCCACCATTCTTTCTCTGCCTCGGTGGCTTGACCGCCTCCCGGCTCGTTTCTATGCAGAAGTGATCGCCGACGGGCTGAATTGCTCGTCCAGGCTCTCGAAGGGGTGGAGCGGATGGCGCTGCTGGCATAGGATATCGAGCGCATCGTCTTGCTGGATTTGCTGATGGTAAGGTGTCGTCATCCTCGTCCAGCTAGGCAAGCTGTGCCCAATTTGAGAGGCGGTACTGCCCACTTTTAAAGAGGATGCGGGATAACTCGTGGTCATCGTCGAAACCTCTGGCTGCTGAGAGTAATTGGTAGCCTTTGCGTCTGGCTTCTGTCAGCCTCCATCTCGTATATAAGCCAGGGCAAGGATTGCTGGCGTCTCCTTGTCTTCTGAAATATCGAAGAAACTGTCCCAGGATCCATTCCTGAACAACGATTCGGAGCAAACCCTAGACACGGTTTGTGCCCGTTGGGTTCGACGCGCACTCGCGACACGCCGGGAGGGTGGGAAAAAGAATTTGTATTTACTACCATCCGTGCCCAAGCCATGCGATCTGAACTGGATTCCAGTTGTATTTCCGCCTCCTGGTGGGACTCAGTCTGGCACCCCTTGAGTACGACCGGATACTCCTACCCAGCATAGCGCACCTGTGCATCGTCGATGACGGAAGGTCCTGGGGTGGATGTTGTGCAGTCGGTAACGCGTCTGTTACGCAGTCCCTGTTCTAGCAAGCGGACAGCTGGAGCTGGAATATGTTAAGAGCCGTTCTAGGTGGTATCCCTCCAGCATCTGCTGTAAAAGTCCGTCCGGCAGCTGCGACTCTCCGTGGGAAAGCACGACCCATCTGGCGTCCCTTCTGCCACCTCCACGACAACTGCCTCCCGCTGCCCCGCGCCTTCCTGGTTCCCTTATACATCCTGGCTGGCACGAACCGTTCCTCCCTTCATCTATGGCAAGGAAGGCGCCAAGGACCAGGTTGTCTAGGGTTAAGGTAATGGGAGGAAGCTAGCACGAGCGTAGAGACCTTGTGCGACCGGGTAGGTGTAAAACTGAGGATCACGGAATTTTGTGCCGTCTTGTCGCCCAAGGCCCGATCCGGCCCATCGAGTCTCGCAATGGCATCTCGCGGGTTGGCACGCTCTGCGCGTTCTCTTGGGTGTCTGCGCCCTTGCCTGCCTGGACGCGCTCTCGCCACGCCCATCTCGCGGCTTCACGCACCACCTACACTTCGCTCCACCACCCGTCGTCCCAATGCTCCCCTCGCCAGGCAGCCGGTCTCCACTGCCGCCACGCCCGCTCCATATGTCGGAGAGTATCAGCAGAAACCTCTGGCCAATGGGACGAGGCTCGATTCGACGTCGGGAAAGTCGTATGTGATTGACGATGTCCTCTCGGAGAGGCCGATTGCCGGGCGCTTGTGGTGTGTGTATCGGGCAAGGTTGGGAGCTCTCTTTTACCGATTGGTTATGGCGTGTGGATGGCCCTAACTCTGCCCTGTTTGCAGCTGCGACGGGAAGCAGTACGTACTCAAAGACGCCGTCCCAGACGGTTTTGAGTACAATTTGGCCCTACAAAAACGTGTCGCGCAGTCTGCCCATGTCAGGGCCCTCGTCGACAGCATTCCTGATCGGCACATCTTTGTCTTCCCTCATCTGGAGACGACTCTGCTCGATGTCCAAGTCGGATCTCTGTCCCCAGCCGCCAAAAAGACCATCCTCAGAGATACTCTAAAAGGATTGGTCGAGATGCATGATAAAAACATTTTCCACAGCGGTTAGTTGTTTTTACCCTATCCACATACGCCCGGAATACTGAAGTCGTCGTGAATCAGACATCAAACCCCCCAATATCATGATGGACTCGTACAAGAACAGTGACGGGACTGTGGGCTTCCGCAACATCCAGATCACGGATCTGGAAGATGCGGTCTTTTTACCCCCGAAGGCGAAGGGTTTGGCGGACTGTCTCACGGGAAACCACTTCTGGAGAAGCCCCGAATCGTGGGCCCGCGGGATGCAGCATACCCCGTCCGACGTGTTCTCCTTTGGCATCGTAGTGCGTCCCCCTCCGATTCACCCCCTCCTCCTGTCCCCTTGCCACGACGCGTCCACGCCATTGTCACATTAGCGGGCTAACGTGTCCAATCGACGCGCCTCAGGCCATCTTCGTCTGGCTGGACAGGATGGTATTCTTCAGCCAAGAGGCAAATGCGGCCTCTCCCGAGGTCCAGGCGCAGATCATCCTCTCGACGCACATCATCCACTTCGCGCCCGAGGTTACCGACATCGAGGCCTTCATCGAGTACCACGGCGGCGAGCAGGTGCCGTTTATCCAGGACTTCCTGCAGCTCGTCATCGCGCTGGAGGGATACAAGATGCCCTTCTCATTGTGGGAACCGGTAGATGAGCAGTTCAAGGATCTCGTCGTTCGCATGACCCATCTGGACCCGAGGCGGCGCATCACGGCGAGGGATGCGCTGCTGCATCCTTTCTTTGCCGACTGCGAGGAGACTTGAGGGCTGTCTGGCGGGGCAGTCCGACGATTCCCCCGTGCCAGCAGGGCCAGAATGGGTGGCTGGCTGCGAGATAGTTGTAAACGGAATCTTATTAATAGATGCTTCAGAACTGCGTCTTTTACTGTCGAGTGGTCACTCGTCCTCATGGTTGCAGATCACGCCAATCGAGTGTTTTGGATCGCCGCGATCTTGCCGTTCTGGGAGATCTCCTTTATGCCTTGTGCCCAATCCATTACCTGTGCGAGTCCAGACTTGCGCTCTCCACTGTTCGTTGGTGCCACAGCCCTGGGAGAGCCTCAGAAAGGGTAGATCCTAGATGGCGCATTAAAAGTTGGAGATCTTTGCCACCTGGACGCGGTAGATCAGGGATGGATCGCTGAGGTGGCAGTTGCCCCAGAATGGAAGCTCGTGCACACCGCGACACGAGTCGCCATCTCCATCAAATGCTCTATGTAAACGTGGCGGCATAAAATCCCGGGGAACATCCCAGCGCGGAATGCGGCTTTCACTGCCGGGTTAGGCCCTTCAACGTCAGATTCCATCTTATGTAGCCAGCCCCTGTTTCACTAGACGCGAAACAAGCGCAGAACACTAGGCTTCCAATCTTGTCTGCAGCGCCTGCCCACGAACCGGTATTGTTTACTGTAGATCTTAACCATTGCATTGATGATTGTCCCCATTTTGCCGTTGGAAACGTGTTTGGTAATGGGAAATATTCTGGAACTGCGCTGATTTCCACGGTGGTGTGCTATTTATTATCGGCCAGACCCCGGTGGGGATGATCGATGAAACGGCGAAAAAGAGGAGAAACATGGTGAGGGCCCGATGTGGCAGCAGCGGAATGCGACGTTTGCCCCCAGAAAGGCCGTCACAGGGGTTTGGAGATACCAAACCTAGATCTAGGGGTGTTGATGCGTCTTTAAACCTGCTCGTCGGCGTGCCCATGCCCACCAGGCGCCACGCCCGAGCTATATAGCTCGACGACTCCCGTCTCCTGGAGAAAAGCCTAGGTGGAGCCATCATCATCACCATCGCCCAGTCTCTTTTCTTTCCCCCAGTTCCTTTCTATACACGCAGGCCGTGACTCGATCGACTTCGAGATTTAACCAAAAGTTTTGTTTTTTTTTTTTCATCATCTCCAGCAGCATCAGTCTTTCTTTTTCTTTTTCCCTCCCGCCCAGTCCATCCTATCACTCACGCACAAACCACCACCATGCAAATCATCCAGATCGTCGCCCTCCTCGCCCTCGCCCTCCCGGTCCTCGCCGACGGGGCGGTCGAGCGCCGCTACGTGGGTGGGCCCGCCAACGCGGCCGCTCTCGTCGCCGCGCGCGCACCGAGGAAGGATTCCGGCAGGATCCTGGCGAACGACCCGGCCAAGCAAAAGGAGCAGGACGCCATCACGGCCGCGCTCGACGCTGAGAACAATCCTCAACCGCCTGCCCGCGCCGCCAAAATCCTCGGCGGCGGCAGGAAAAAGAACCAGAAGCGGTCCCCGGAGCCGAGAAAGGATTCCGGCAGGATTCTGGCAAACGACCCAGCCAAGCAGAAGGAGCAGGACGCTATTACGGCCGCGCTCGACGCCGAAAACAACCCGCAGCCGCCTGCCCGCGCTGCCAAGATCCTCGGCGGCGGCAGGAAGAAGAATCAGAGGCGGTCCCCGGAGCCGAGAAAGGACTCCGGTAGGATCCTGGCGAACGACCCTTCCAAACAGGCGGAACAGGACGCTATTACCGCCGCGCTCGATGCCGAGAACAACCCGCAACCGCCCGCCCGGGCCGCCAAGATCCTCGAAGGCGGTAGGAAGAAGAAGGCTAATTAAGCGGGCGGGGAGTGTGAGGGCATGGTCGAGGGGCCTCGCGGGGGAGTTGCATAAAAACGCTGCATGAATAGCTTCGCAATGAGATACGACGTCCCAACTGCAGGGGTTCTCCCCTTAAATGACAAAAGCAAACCGTGACATGACGAATTGGCTTTTATACATGAAGAAGAAGACTTTTATTATTCCGAGCAGCTGGCTTTGGAGTCTTTGTTTTTTTTTTTTTTTTTTTTTTTTGGAAGCCTTCCGGGCGTCTCCTCCATTCTTTCGATCCGTGGTGTTTCTCTCCCGCTCTGGAGTTCAATGTTAGTGTACTCTTGGTACCAAGAAAGTCCATCGCCGCGCCTGGGCTACCATCTGAGGCAAAGAGGCCTGTCGTGCCCGAGGAGACCAAGACAGCCTTGTACGGTCAGCCGCTTCTAACGTCAAATGGGTATCGGCAACCGAGCCGCCTCAGACGAAAGACGAGTCGGCGAAGGACTCCGCGCGAGCTCCGACGGCGGGAGGAATTACCGCCCTCGCGCAAATTCATCGGGCGGTCGAAAAGAGATACGGGCCCGATTCAGGAGGACCGGAAGGGAGGGGCACACTCCGAGTCCGCTCCAGTCGGCGACGGAGTCCTGGTCTGCCAACAAATACCCACAAGCATGTGTGGCTTAAGGGTAAAATCTATGGTTGACATCGATGGGCTCCCGGTTCGAGTCCGGGCACACGCATGGCATACGCTCCGGCCGTCTCCTTCGAAAAGACAGGCGGCCATGGGTAGATGTTTTTGTTTTCTTTTTTTGCTGCTTATTCTCGTTCATCTTTTGGCAACGTGGAATTATCAAACCATTGGGGGACGTGCCAGACACAAAGCACCGTTCGTTCCACCATGGAGACCAAAAAGATCCAGCCGTTCCAACACTTTGTGCACAAACCCTTTGATACCACCGCGTGCATGTCAAGACCCAAAATCCCTGAACAGTCGACACCGTCACAGCCCTGCCGAGGCGGCTGCGATAAAAACAGCAACTGCCAGGTACCTAGTTCCCGCCTTTTTTCGAGGTCGGTCCCATTCCGGGCACCAAATCCTCGATCTCATAACCCATGCAAGAGGCAGCTCTGCACCCTTCTCATAGTTTGCTGCTGGGCTTACTCTTTCCTTCTCTTTGCATTGCCCGGCTCTCCGGATGAAGTTTCTGGGGTCGACCTTTGCTGCTCGGGACTGCTCGCTAGCTGAGCGTCATCTTCGGCGAGCTCCGAAACAGAGCCGGCACCTAACTCGTGGGCCGCAGCATCCATGCGTGGTAGTTGGTCGATGGCGGAGCAAATGTTCCTGAAATGGGTGGGCATCCAAACGTCGTAAACATTTTTGGTGAATCGATATGGCGTCCATCTGTCTTTGCCTCCGGACATCATGATGCCGATATCCTGGATTGGATGGCGATAGTACTTGGTTTCTTTCCCCTCCATCACGGGATAATGGCTATAAATTTTAACGCTGGTATCGCTGTGCGAGATGGAAAAGGCGAGAATCTGGCGGTCGATTTCGGCCTCCCGGTTGACAGCACGGAAAAGCTCGACGACGGCTCGCACCGCAAGCGTCATGCTGTGGGCGTTCTGTCGATCTGCGACGTCGAGCGTCGCCCGGCCGGATTTCACCTCGCAAGTCAGGAATGGGAAGTACATGTAAAAGGTTGCCATAAAAAGGGACTTGTCACCCGCGAAAACCTCGCCGACCAACGGTGACAGTTTGGCGAGCTGGTCGGCGGTGAACGCATCTATCCCGAAGCCAACGGCGTAGTCGGGCCGGGGACGAGGGCTGCTGAGGGGAACAGAGTTGTTCCATCCTTCGTTGACGCTTTCAACTAGGATGTCCAGATGGGCCGCACCGAGCGTGGCAAAACCCTCGGCCGAAGGAACGATAAGTCGACCGATATCCTGGATAATACGCGCCTGGTTTTTACCGTGCAATTTGAGGCAGGCCAACTCAAATGTATCGTCGCGGAAAATGGTGTCTCCAGGTACTGGTTGCGGCAGCTCGAGAAGAGATTCGCAGAGAGCCTTGCTGGCATCGGACGGACGCGAAGCCTTGATGTTCATGTAGCTCCCCTGAGCCCGGAGGAGGACCTCATAGCGCTGGTCTCCATATGGTGCGCTTTTTTCCTCGCGCGACTTCTGGTGGCTTGGCGCTGAGCCGGTCAAGCTGGCGGGGCTGGATCGTTTGCTCTTCCGCGCAAGGATGGCCGGCGGAACCGATTTCCATGCGGCTTCTGGCCCTTTTGGCCAACATCCTTCATTAGCCCAGAACGCAATAGGATCAACCCGCGTGGTGCCGTCGGGCACGGGCTCCGCATGGGGTGTTTGGCAGTCACCAGCAGTTCCCGCCAGGGATGCAATGGAGGTGCGCTGTCGCTTCTCGCGGGTTTCTTGGCGGTGTGGACTGCTATCCTGTTCGGTATTTGCTGGCCGCGACAAGGAGCTGCTTCCAATTCACCATTTTTGAAATAAAGGGAGGATCGGGCGGGCCCGGATGCTTGCCACTTTTGTATCTGTATGCGGGTGCTGTTGGAGGAATGAAAGGGTCAAGGTCTCGTCACGTTAGCCCGTGATTGAGTCTTTTCCCCACACCACCCTACATATCTAAGCCCACATGCAACACGCATTGGTGCAAAGTCAGGCCTGCGGCTGATCGTGGCACAGCATGTTTGCAGTGATCTGCAGCGCTAGTCGGTCTGGCGGCCACACTCCACAGCGTTCGGCCTGTCCGTCTTGCTATTACACTCCTAGCTCAACATCACGCCTAGAGATAGCAACCAATGCCGAAAAAAAAACTTTGTGACAAGCAGATCATAACATTCATTTCGGCAGCGAAGGTGCCATCTATCTTCAGTTATTTCCCCATCCGCCAAACCACCCTACACACGCCGGAACTTGGCGCTCTTCTTGGTCAGTGAAGTGTCGTTGCTGGCGCTGGCCAGCTTCTCGGCGAGCTTGGCGTCCAGGTCGGTGACGGTGCCGGCAGGGGGCGGCTTGACCAGGTTGAGGAACATGGGCTGGACGACGTCGCAGCGCAGGTTCTGGTTGTCGCTGATGCGCTCCATGTGGGTGTTGCCCGTCTGGATGAAGAGGCGCTCGCGAGTCGCCTTGTAGGGGGTCCACTCGGCCGACCCTTGCTCGCGGTCCCTGTTGGGGTCCAGGTGTCGGATGAAAGAGAACCAGTAGCCCCGAACGAGCGAGATGGCGGGCTTGTTGGTGGTGACGTACGACTTGGGCGCGTTGTTGTCGCGGCTCTGGCCCCAGAAGGCGTGCGTGTTGACCGTGTGCCAGGCGCCGAAGCCGGCGGCCTCGTCGGCCGGGTCGAGCACGTCGTACTTGTAGTTCCACGTCGGCGAGCCGTCGCGCGCCAGGTAGTCCTGCAGGTTGCGCGTCTGGCAGTGATTGCCGATGTCGCCCATGGCGTTGGCCAGCTGCCGCCACTTGGCGCCCGACTTGGGGAACACGGGCTGGTCGGCGTCCAGGTACATCTTCTGCAGCACCGCCAGCGACGAGTTGGACAGGGTCGGGTCCTGCTGCAAAAAGAACTTTTTCGCCTCGTCGACCGACGCCGTCGACTGCGGCACGTTCTTGGTGCCCTCGTCGGCGCACGTGCCCCAGATGGTGGGCACCTTGCGGTACTTGCCCTGCCGGAACATCTCGGGCAGGCTGTCGGAGAAGAGGTCGTCCTTGTTGATGCTGGGGTTGAACCAGCACTTGGCCGAGCGGAGGGCGGCCTGGTCGAGGGCGCGCAGGCAGGCGATCTTGTCGGCGCTGTCGGCGCAGCCCTTCTCCTCAACCAGGCACCGGAACTGCTCCTCGCCCTTGTCCATGGTGCGCAGTGTGGCCCAGGGCCCGGACTCGACGATGCCGCCCCTGAACAGCTTCTCGATGCCGGGGTACTTGGCTGCCATGAGCAGGCCGACGGACGAGCCGCCGGCGCTGACGCCGTCGATGACGACCTGGTCCGGATTGCCGCCGAACTTGGCAATGTTGGCCTGCACCCACTCGAGCGCCTTGAGCTGGTCCTTCATGCCGGCGTTGAGCGTGCCGCCGGCCGCCTTGAGCTCGTCGGTCTGCAGGAACCCGTACATGCCGACGCGGTAGTTGAACTGCACGAGCACCACCTGCCCGTCGTGCACGAGCTCGCGCCCGTTCCAGTTGGGGCTCGAGTTGGACCCGAAGCCGCCGCCCTGCAGGAGCACGACGACGGGCAGCTTGGAGTCGGGCTTGGCCGCCGTCGGCGCCGTGACGGCGAGGTAAAGGCAGTCCTCGTCGGCCGTGAAGCGCGTGTGGTTGCCCGTGACGGTCCAGTCGTTGGGCGACTGCGGCGGGCAGATGGGGCCGTGCCGCGTGGCGTCGACTGTGCCTTTCTGGACCGGGTCGGCCGGCGCCGCGAACCGGAGCTTGCCCACGGGCGGTGCCGCGAATTGGATGCCTTTCCACATGGACACGCCCAGGTCCGGGTCCGTGACGGCCCCCTGGAACTTTGCATAGCCGAGGTCCACGAGCGTGTCGACAGCCGCCACGCCCGAGGCCATAAGGCTCGCGGCGGCCAGGACCAGGGACAGGCTTGATGGAGCTCGCATGGTTGAAGACTGTGTGTGTGGAAGAAAAAGAAAGAGCGAAAAAAGAAAACGAATGGCAAATGTATCTGTCTGTCTGCCCAGAGATGTAAAGAAAGGAACGGCCTCAAAGGAAACCTCACCAAAAGCTAGCGACTTCACTGCGTCGAGAGCGAAATCGAAAGGCGGTGGTGCGAGAAGGGAGAAAGACCTCCCCCAAGCTCCGAGGCAATCCAGCCTGGGCATTTTATATGTCTCCTGGTCTGGAAGAGCGGTAACGAGCCCCATCGGAGCCCGGGGACCGCGGTCGGTCCATCCCGCCCGCCCCTGAAGGACGGACCCTGCAAAAAGGGGCTCAATGCCGCCGGCTGAATCGCGCCGGTCGAGTCGGTGTCCGGTCCCGCATGGTTTTCGAATTCTATTTGGTTTTTTAAGTTTAATTATATATGGATGAAACGTCCGTCTACCACCCCACGATTCTCCGCGTTATGGCATTCGCCAAGCGTCGCGATCAAAGCCGCGCTTTGCGTACACAAGGCTTTGCTGCGCTGCCTCAGTCAGCCACATCTGTGGGGAACCATGTCGGATCTTTACCCCAGTATAGGTAATACTTTAACGCCCGCCCCTTGGAGACCCAACTGCCGAAAGCCGAATTCCCCAGTCTGCTCGTGGTATCGACCCATCCCGCACATGTACCGCGGGTCGATCATCAACCTAAATTCTTTTTTCCCTCTTTTCTTTTTCCAATTTCGGAACCGACGTGTCAGGTACTCCGTGGAGATGCACCAACCCCGGGGCCCAACCCAAAGACGACAACACGATTCCCCCTCAGCAATAGTCCAGCGGGACGGTGACGGCGTCGATCTTGTGCAGCTCCACCAGCATGGTCGCGTACCTCGTGTGGGCGTTGGCGAGGAACAGATTCCGGACTTCGTTTGTGATGTCCTCGACCACCTGCTGCGGACGAGCGACCCTCTCGTCGTGCTCGATCACGTCCATGATGGCGTCGGCGTAGTACCGGGCCACGACGTCGGCCACGTCGCCCGTGACGGCGTGCGGGAGCCTCCTGCTCCTGGGGTCGGTCGGCCTCCGGGGCGGGCGCGTGCCGCCGCCCTCGGTGACGTGCAGCGCGG